CTCAGACATCAACACAGCCTCACTCCACTCCCTCTCTCACCGGTATGCAGCTCCGGGCGCTCGCATGACAAGTAGAGCCCTCCGTGTCACTAAACGGTACTAGCGAAGAGAGCCAACTTCAAAAACTCTCGTGAGAGGGAGACCGCCGAAGTTAAGTCTAGCTCAATCAGTTCCGTGGCGAAATTCCAGATCAAGGAAATATAGGGGGTTAGAGATCCGAGGACTGGGAGAGACGGTCGAGCAAGTTCGCGGCTCGATGTTCCCTGGCGAAGGATGCGCTGCGAGCGGGAAAAAACACTCGGAGCCGGCCCGACCATTTGACAGTTCTCATCGATGCTCTAAAATGGGCTGCGCGTATCTGCGAACCTTCAAGCCGACCGTGGCGTCAGAGAGAAGACCAGTGTGAGCGAAATTCGGTCGGAGTCCATAAAGCGAGGCTCTCCATGATGTCGATTCCACGCCTACGGATCGCTAGGCCTCTAAATTGCACGGTTTCACGCACCGTCGTAAGCGAATCCTTGCCAATCGATGAGTTATCCCGAGGGCCCAGAGTTCATCCGATGGGACGAGCTTCTGGGAAGGGGAATCCTCAAATATCCACTGGGGGCAAAAGTCAGCGGGCAGAGAAGGGAGTCACTCATAACTCAGGTAGTGAATACTTGCTCGAGGCCGATCGAAACTTCCAATCCTTGTCGATCTAGAAAATGTCAAAAGATGATTGATGATTCAACGCCAGAAGAGACCATGCAAGAAGAACAGGAAGATCAGGGTGGAATTCCAGCGAACACTGCGAGAGTGGGGATTTGAATGGATTGTCGCGTATCGCTCGTTGACTCCCGCGGCGAGAGATTTCCGCTGATACTGCGGACTGATGATTTTCACGGAGCTGAGAAGCGACCCGAGTCTGTATCGGCTGCGCAGTGTGGAGCCTCATGAGTCATGAGCAAGAGGCATTCTTCGCTGATATCCTCCCCGAACATCATCGTTTTGCGTCAAGTTAGGACTCTTCGAACGACACTCATCTGGATTCGAACATCAAAAAAACTCCAGTCCGTTTTTCCTAGCGTATGAAATCTCCCGGTTCGTCGACTCCGATACGCTTGAGCACGCAAAGCGTAAGAACTTGTCGCCGCGATTCACGCCTCGATCTGACTCGATGGAATAGATTCCACCTGAGCTCAAGCTCGCTACCGCTGGTGAAACGTTCCTCGAGTTCCGATGACAGATCTCGAGATTCCGAGTTTTGGAGTCTCATTCCGTTCGGAGCGCAGATGCTCGAAGTCCCTCACTCGAAGCTCCGGAGGCCTCAAATGTCTCTCTCTCTTCCTCGGCTTTCTCGAATGACACCGTCCTCCTTACATGCTCTGCAGTGCAGAACGCGACCAGCCGGATGTTCTTTTCTTCCCCTCTGCTATGGGAGGAATGCGATTTCAGATTAAATGTCACAATAGAGCCCCGCGAACGAGCTCGTACACAACTCTCGGTGTCTTCCTTGACAAGATCCCATGAGACGGACAAGCATGCCATCTCCATCGGAGCCTATGGTACATGCAAGCTCTGCGCCTGGTTCTCTTCAATTCCGGGACGCGACATTTCAGGAATGTGACCGTAAAAAAATCCACTCCCAATGAATTCTCCGGCCGACTCTGTCGCGTGAAAGCGAGAAGATCTGTGTTCCTCCACTCAATCAGATGCTCCTCAGCCTATCCTGACACTGGTCGTCAGTGGTCGCACAGATATCGGAGTCCCGTCTTTCGCAGAGCATGTCCTTCATACATAAAATTTGAGACCGTTTCTCTAATCTTTAGATCCCCGCCCGTTATCTGAGGGGTATCTCAAGGATCCCAATTCCGTTCGTATCCCGCTCCCGAGCCACCGCGGATCACCATGCACGTACAGACGAACGAGACTGGGGAGACAGCGCCGCGCCGTTGATGTTGATCGCTCCAGCCCTGCCCTTGCGTCTAGATGCAGAAATGTTTCCACACAGGAATCAGAACCACTTTTCACTTATTCCGCGACATTGCCGTCGCGCTTCAGATACGAACTTCTCCCTGGTACTGCACCTCAATCGACCTGGAGCTGATTTCCCAGAATGTTGCCGACAAAACCTTTGCCCGCAAGAGTTGTGTACCTCAATGCTCTCGCGGCGGCATATTTGAAACCGTGAGCCGCGGTGCCAGATTCGAGTGATGGAACTTCTGAGCCAGAATGACCAAATTAATTCCAAATAGGTAGCTCGAAAGTTGTCCTTGCACCCCCGACATCCTCCGAGCTCCAGAAGGTAATCAGATCATTCAGATTCTTCATGATTCTACGACGACCCGTGACCCGTCGCTTCCCGATTATTCGTCGATCGGGGCGCGCTCCTGGGAGAGCGAGCACTCGGAAACCTTGTCCGGAGCAGGAACTCGGATGTCAGGAGACATACGAGTGGGGCTCAGGAAACATCCGTGTATTTTGCTCCTCGCTGAGATAACTCTTGGTAATTTGGACAAAATGGCTCCTTCACTTGTAACAGTTGGCGCATTTCAAGCGATACCAAGATGTAGGCGACTAGCGTTCCCAAGAGATGAAGGGAGCGGAGAGCGAACCTAATACTTTCGCGCCGAGCAGGAGCAAATTCAACCTCAGGAGTCCCTAAGGTTTTCCTTCCGTGGTCCTCATGGAGCAGCGCGATGCCGCTGACTGAGTTGATGCTCCGTTGTGAGTTGTGACTAATCCTCTCCGCCTACCGAACGAGTGATTGCAACGTTCCACTCATGACCACACACAGGCTCGACGACAGTGCCCCGTCCCAGCGGTGACATCGAACGACCGTGCGGTCCGACGATGCCGCTTTTTGTCGCGTAAACGGATTAAAAGGAAGTGTAAATACACAAGGCAGCGCCGACAGTTGAGTTCGCGCGCTCCCTCCGCTGGAGCACCGAGGGCATTTAGTCGTGAGTCAGGCTCGGAACGCCAAAATGTGTTAACCGAGTGTGTTCCGTGCGGATTGGAATCGTTAGTCCGGGGAGTGTTCCGACAGATACGAATGCTTACTCCGGCTCTAGAGCGGGGCTTGAGGAGTCGTTAGAACGCTAGGCGGTGCAGTGCACTTATCTCCGATGCGAACAGCGGTGTCATAGACATGCCCTAGAACTGGTGACACCGATCAACCGTCAGGTGAGTTCGGAGCCCACTCGAAGATCACGTTGAGCTCTTTGAGCGGAGCCCGAGCCCGCCGGAATTCCGGAAACTCGATCCGCATCGTATCCTCGACTTCCAACTATACCCCGGATTTGGAATGCTCCAGCGAAAACAGCGTGATCTAACCCTTTCGGAATCACGTCCCGGCCGGTTCTGTATCCCTGGATTCGAGCAAAGCCGGATAGATGTCCATGACGAACGACAATTCGACTCGTTTCCACGTTTCCAGAATTGAGAGGTTCCGTAGGGATCGGCAAGCGTGGTCAAGTTCGGTGACGAATCGCGCCCTGAGTCCCTGTGTGATGTACACAAGGGGATGCCTTCGATGCCGCTCGTAGACAGGCTCGGCTCACTGATTGACTCAATGGTTCTGCATTTCCGTAATGAATCATTTCGCAACCAGAATTCCGTCGAGGGTTTTGCTTGTGGAAATACTTTATGGCATTTCTAGATAGCGTCGTTCGAGTGGTTTCACTGAGAGACGGCGCTCTGCGGGACACCGTTCTCGTAGCGAGCTTCTGAAATTCTCAATGTTTTTCCGCAAGAAGGCCAGTCCCTGTACGTCGGGCCGTTCCGTGGCGTCGTACGGGAGTATGAATTTCTGAATGATGTCACGGAGAATCTTGGAGCCGTTTCTCTGACTGAGTGAGAGAAACATTGCCCACCGCCCTGACAGTTCGCTCGAGATCGAGCGCGCGTTGGCGACTATCTCAGATTCCATTGTTTTTTTTCGCGGCGTAGAGTTTCGTCTACATTCTTAGCGGTTCCAAAGATCACCCGAGATTACGATTCTCCTCCCTTCCCGAAATCCGAGGGTTTTCCCTGTTGTGGATTTGCTATAATATTCTCGCCGTGCAGTGCTCATCGCAATTGCGCTACGTTCCTTCCGGCAGATATTTCTCGCCCGTTCTCGAAACAAACCTTGATCTTCAGGAATTCATCCGGGTGTGAGATATCCCGAGACGAATTGAGTTGATCAGCTCCTCTCTCATCGTCGAGGTAGCTGAGAAACAGACGCGCGAACGAACGAATGGACCGGAAAAGTAGAACTATGCCATGAGCCAGTTTGTGTGGTGGTTTTCACTCCATATCGCGCATGACATTTTCAATCTCGCAGCGAATATCAACAGCGATCTTTCGTCTGACGTATTGGTCTCGGAGTTTCGATGCGAGCGCGATTTCTTCGCAGTCGTCGTCAAGATGCTCCGACTCATCCGCTCTTTCGAGTCGTTCGATGAATGGAGCTGACGATATAATCAGAAGGATGGAAAGGCATCAATATCCAATTATATTCACCCTGTCAGCGACTATCGGGATTTCGATTAAGCAATTCCCTTCCGAAGCTTTTCGAGGCTGGGAAACAGCCATCACCAGCAGAGCGACGAATTCCGTGAAGAGTTGCCTCGCGATTTTCTATGCGCCTGGATCGGGATTTGTATTATGCATTCTCGCCGACTCTCCGATCCGCCGACTTTGCTATTCAGCACTTCCGAGAGGCATTGTTTCCGACTTCCAAGAGTCTCACGAACCAGCGAGTGCCTTCGCGACTACGAGCGGTCTGCGAAGAAAACTCACTAAGAAATGAATCCGACTCCGATGGCTGCCTTCCGTATACGCCAACCTTCGCGAACATAGATTCTTGAGTCGAGAAACCTGATTAGGATGCGCTCTACAGTTGAACAGCATGGCGGAGGCTCCCTCGAGTGAATCGTCCTCGGAAATTCCCTCTTTCCTCTTTTGACATCATTTCGACCACAGGTAACCGAGGAGGGTGAATCTTGAATTAATCGATGTTCATATCTACCTACAGGATGCCACTGGAGCAGCGAATAATATCTCCGGTGCACGTATGCAGAGGTGCAATTCCGACAGACGACCATGGTCAGCCCCTTGCGCAGGTGGCCAACGATCTCGAGTGCGTCACCAATGGAACCTTAGCCAATATAATTAGACAGTTGTCTAGTCTCTCGAAGCACGCCGATGACCTTTTCGGAGCTTTGTTCATTGAAGCGAGCGGATTCGTCAACAGAACAAATCAGCTACAGGTAATTCACTCGGAGATCATTGGAAAATTCCCTCCTCCTGCCGAGTATCGAATGTTTTCCCAACTACGGCCCTTGATGGAATAGGATCAATTTTCTCCATTCCCACAGCAACGCGTAGAAAGATTGGCAGTCCGCGTGACGAAGCTGGATTCGACCGTGGAAGAGGTTTCCCTGCAGGATATCACACAAAGAAAAGCTTTCAAGTCAACTATACAGTATGACCAGCAGGTAAGATTTGAAAGCCTGAGCCCAGAGAGCGATCCGCTGCCGTTGACGTTCTGGGACTTTTTTCGGCGTCGCTTCCCGGCGACCGCAGCGTTCGGCTCGGCTAGCTTTCATGATTGCTCTGTAATGGTGCCAATTGGTATTCAATCGAAAGCGGGGACGGCAAGCGAGTGTTCGCTGTCGGAGTGAGAAGACCACGGCAGACACTATTTCCGATGAAACACCGACCCGCTGATCAGAGCATCACAGAATCGTCATTGTCAATCGCGTCGAAAGTTATTGAAAAATACTACTCGGTGTCCTGTCCGGGAGGCGGATACACCCGCGATCGGTTGCCATCGTACAAAAGAGAGTCGATCCTCGAATAAGCAGATCGGTCCAACGTTTGAGAGATAATGGGAATTATCTCCTTACAGGTCGTTTCTCGAGAGTCAATGCCGGCTGCGATGAAGGAAATGTACGAAACGTGCGATCCACCACCCCCGTTGGACAACCTGAATTGTTACAGAGACGATGGCAAAGACGGACTCAAGTTCTATACGGATCCAACGTATTTCTTCGAGCTGTGGCGACAGGAGATGCTTCGGGACACTCAGAAAATCAAGCAGGACAGAGTGGGCCGGAAGCTAAACACGTCGCAGGACCGGGATGGACGGAAGAAGGACTCGAAAAAGGTATGTAAACAGAACTCTCCAAAATTCAAATCCGCATCGAAGAGCATACTCGCGCTCGGGGATTCGGATATTCAGGGATCGACATCCTGACCGGTTTTTCCGTTGCTCAGATGCGGCAGCCGTCCAGCACCCAAGAGAAGCTGCGCATGAAAGCAGCGCAGAACGAAATCCATCTTCATCATACAGGACACGTGACCCATCATCAGTACCACCATCATCCGGATCCGCACTTCCCAACGAACCTTCCTCCGCCAGTGGAGATCTACGGTAAGTTGTTCAAAGGGACCAGAAAGATTTCCCTAGACCTATGGCATAGCAACCCTCTCGGGAATGACTTGAGCAGGAACGACCGCCGCAATGATACATCGATGCATACGGGGTTTCGGACTCCCATTGATCTACTCGATATAGCGAAATTCCGGCCGATGCTTAATTATACTCCACCCGACAGGAACTCCGATCATCAATCCGCCGCCACCAGCGACGCCTTTGCCTCCGGCACCCCAGCAGGGCTATCTTCCGTTGCCGCCCGCTCACAGTTCACCTCCGCATCAGAATCAACCGCCGCCGCCGCCGGCGTCGTTGACATCCTCACCTCCTCATCATACAGCGATTCCAAACGGCGTTCCGCCACCTCCTCCCCCGAACTATTCGCCGTCGAGACCGAACATCGCTCCACCTGCGCCCCCGGCAGCGGCGGCCACGCCTTCGACACCTACTCGTCGTCCTTCTTTGCCCCCGCCACCGCCGCCTGAGACAGAGGACTTGCCGCCACCCCCTCCTCCTACTCCTCCCCCCGATGCCTCCTCCCCCTCCTCCCATGCCCTCGATGATGACGAATGGAGACGTGGACGGTCCTCCTAAGCCTCCCGCGCCGCCGATGAATGGAGCGTTGCCACCTCCGCCTCCTCCAGCCGCTCCTCCGCTATCTCTTGCCTTGGGAGGTGCAAGTCTATCACAAAGCATAAGCGAGGTTCGATTGAAACCGGTTCCGGCGCAGAAGCTTTCGCCGGTGACGGACGCTCGCAGTGACTTGTTGGCCGCCATCCGGGAAGGCATCAAACTGCGAAGAGTCGAGGACAACAAAGCCAAGGAGGTTGAGAAAAATGTACAGCCGTGCGACGTGGCCTCAATCCTTGCACGTCGGGTCGCCATCGAATATTCAGATTCGGAAAGTGAGTCTGAAGAAGGTGACTCGGAGTGGGACAACGCCGAAACAGATTGCTAGGCTCGTTTCCATCATTGAGAACAATTTAAGTAATTATTGTAACCCTCCACAGCATCGGTACGTTTACCGGTGCATTGAGAAATGTCGGAGGAGAGAAATAATGATGAAGATGAGAATAATAATAATGACGATGCAGTTGTTGCTAATTGTGACACCCCCTCCAAAAATGACAACATTTCAACTCCCATCAAGTTGACCACTCACCTTTACACATTCAACACAAACTCATCTATGTAATTGTGCGAAACGGGAAGAAACAGTTCGCTCTCAGCATAAGACGCCGCGGATCGCGATCAGTCGCTCCCGCGGCGACCTAATAGGCTGATCCACGGCCGGATTTCCCAGAGACAGATTGCTATATATTGTGCGTCGACGAGAGGAAAATAGTCTGCCGTTGGAAAGCGACACCCCGCCTCCGAACCCCGGAGCGGTTGTCAGGATCGAAGAGGAACAATTTTTGTAGGGAAGGAATCCTCTGCACGAATTCATTAGTTGATCGACGATTAAAGTCTCGCATTTCCTCTCGAATTTTCGTCGGTACACAATTCAAACGTTAGAAGTTCCAGAGAAGATTGAACAGAAGCGAGTTCTCTCTCTTTCCGGGGGCTCAATTTCTCCTTTCCTCTTGAATCAGAAGTCGAGTCGACCCGCTGTCGAGCATTTCACTCAACGAGAACTGGAGCGCGCCGAATGTGTCAATAGTGAGGACGAGGAGCAGCAAGTGAAAGCCAAAATGTGGTGATCTGCGAAAGTCAGCTCTCAGCAAAAAAAATGTCCCCGACCAGGATCGACTGATTTTTGGAACTCTTTGGATAATTTATCGGCGTCAGAAATGAGTTTTTTTCCTTCTAATGAAAGCAGGAGATCAAATCCTTGAAAATAAAGCGAATTCGTCGAGCAAAGCGAATAGTATCTATCGAGTTTCTGACCCGGGGAGCAGAATCCTCCACCAAGACTTAGCAGAAGCCGATTTGAGGAAATCGTGTCCTAGACTAAGGAGCTCGTTGAGATTTCGCAACTGTGACTGGTAAGCGCTCAAGAATCTCCCTCGCAGAAGTCAGCCAGAGAGATTCCGTGCTTGTAGAGTCTAACCGCCTTCATCATTGTAAAAGTCTCAACGATTATTACGTCTCCCGAGTGCCGAAATCCGAAGTGACCTGTCTCAGTCAGAGGATTCGATGGGGATCTTGTGTCGATGCACCCTATGACTCGCCGAGAGCTTTCTTTATTGTCCCAAGGAGCAGATCGCGAGGGCAGTTTCCATATTATATGGACTCGCACACATTCATATAATATCGATTCTTTCCATTCCATGGTGAGTTCCACTCTCACTCGAACACGCTATCAATCGAAGAGTAAAGTCTAAAGTCGAAGGGTCAGATTCGAATATCGTAGGAGGTAGTTCCCCGGCAGAGAGCTCCAATGTACTCGTTCTGGAGCACATTCTCGGTCTGCAAGGACTCCCGAATATTTCTAGCTCAAAATCCGAATATGGCCGAAATGACCCTGATTGATCGATGATCTACGGAATCGTCTTTCATCATAACTACTTGACTAGACAAACTTGGGCAAACTTGAAACACATGGGCCTTGTCCGCCGAGGACGTCGGAATAATGGTTTTAGTGATTGTCTGCGTCGCTACACAACGACGTATTGATTGCCTTCGCGGAGTGATTGGGCATTCTTTTGGGCACGGATCTTACTGATTGTCAGCCTCTCTAAGCTCGTTTACACTCTTCTGTACGGGGAGCAGCTACCCAGTATCTCAGACGTAACATGATGTTGCAGATCGTCTGCAGCACGAAGGCAACGACACAGCATCCGACGAAGAAGACCGTCATAGCCGAGGGGGAGAGAATCCGCATGACAGGATAGACCCAAATTCTCTCACCGATACCGAGATAGAGAACCCATAGTTGGTAGAAGCCGAACCAGGCGAAGATTCCGGCGAAGCCCCGACGTTTGGCTGGAACCTCGTGGGGGTAGAGCAGGGCTTCACATACAGCGGTGATCGTAACCAACGTATGCTGAAAGAGAGGAAATTCCGACTTTATAGTCGGCTCAAATCCTGCCTCGCACAGTTCATCCCGAGCCGTCCCACGGTGGAAGTGATTTCTCTCCAGCGTCTTTTGAACGACATGAAGTTGACATAGGGTTTTCGAACGCTCACCGAATGTCGATTGACCCACTTTGAGTGGAAAGCCTCGATCTCCGTAGAGAATACGGTCTCGCGATCGACACTGTATAGGCCCCAGAGGAACACGTTCACGAAAATGCACGAAGGGAGTAAAATGGAGCAGAAAATATAATCACGCAAACGATACAAAGACCTCGTAGGTCGTACGTCCAAGACGAGGCAGAGTCCGAAATAGAGTCCGCACAAGCCCTAGAATCGAGATTCAGTCGTCAGTGATCTCCTTCCTGAATTCTCGGGGCGGAGAACGGATTGCTATTCGACCGCGACAAACAGGATCCTATGAGAGCCGCAGCGCTCGGGTTATCGAGGAACATACTCACCAGGTTCCATTGAGTCAGATACTTAGCCTTAACAGCATACGCGAGATTTGGGTCTGACTTCGGAGCTTTGACTAATGAGAAAGAGTAATAAATTGTATAGGCGTAAATAAAAGCGGCTGCCGAGTGGAAGACGATGGCAGTTCCGGATGCCGCCAGCGCCATGATTATCTGAAAGTCAGAGATCGCGAATAGATTGAGCTTCCACGTAGAATATGTCTCGAAACAGAGAGGTCTCCTAAGAGAGAGCGACGGAAGGATTTCCCAGCGCGAGGGGTACTCGGTTGCCGGAATGCCCTGATTATCTCGAAGCAAAGGGTACTCGTCGCGTGCGATGCGCTCCCGAAAAAAACTCCTCGGGGGTTTTGGTCCACAGCGACTCTCTCGCCCGATTGATGGACCCTGCGAGACCGGAATAATTGTCTCGCGTCTACTGGAGTAAAATTTGAGGAGCTCTAATTTGAAGAATGATGGCTTCGACTGGTTCAATGCAATCAGAGTTAAGTAACGAGGAGCATGGATTTCCGAGGGCTGACGAGCAGGGGATTGCCGAGTAATGTATCGAAATGCGACTTTGCGCGCTCTGTACTGATGTCTGATCACCTGTTGGCTCACTCCGCGCATCAGCTGGCGGAGTAGGAGATCAAAGAACGCTCGAAAATGCCTCTATTCTCCGTCAGACTTTCCGCGATCACTCGTCGAAGCTTTTCGAAGCTTCGATTCCCCAGGACAACAGCTATCAATCGTCGAGCGCTCTGACTTGTCCCTAGAACCGAGGACGAAGCATAGATAATCAGTGGTATTCCGCAACTTACGTTGTCAAGGCAGGGCTCCTTTATCCAGGGGAATCCCGCTGTGTAGTACATTCAGCTGATGGGACTGATGATCTCTGCTGGGCTTAGACCGGAGCTCAACTTCCCTCGGAGCCTCGGAGTCCGCAGTTGGGCTAGCCTCTTTCTCATCCCTCAAAGACAAGATTCCTGATGAAGCATATCGGAGATTCGCGGCATCATTTCCAAGATATCTCCGAAAGTGGTCGACTTTACAAAGCTCCACTATCTCTCGCTATCCCTTTCGTACAGGCTCTGTGATCGGGGGTCAGAATGCATTCTGAACCATTCTGAGGGCATACCATTCAGCTCCAGAGTGTCAGAATGATATGCCATCAGAATTCGATAGCGATCTTTGAAGTCTCAGACCCCGTTAGGTCCTCGTGTTCCCCCCCAGGGCTAACGTCACGTCTCACGTCATCATGGCTTCCAGATACCTGGGTGATAGCATCTTTCTATGGCGGACTTCCCGTTCCATCACGCCGGCGCTCGAGTACAGAGAGACGAAAGGCTCCTCCGTCATTACTCGGAATCGCGGCTCGTTTTCTGGATGTCGATGCCGGGGAGAGCTTGAGAGTTCGGGAGGTCTGACTCAGAGTCACGGTGTCGATTCTAGAGGAGCCAGGAGGAAGGTGGGAAGCCAGCTCCTCGAACTCTGCCGTCGGGAAAAATGAGTGAGATTTCGTATACCACTCTGAATGTAAGTCGTGCTCACATTTTCCGAAGAGTAATGCCGACTCACTCCCTTTAACGGTCAGCCCACCAGTGAACATGTAAACCGACATCTGACGATCGCTAACGATGAGCATCTCGAAGAGCTCATATCTGCGCGTATAACCATCGCGCTAATTTCATCGACCCTATCTGCTCTATAGCTCTGTCGATCGGTAGAAGCCGCGCTCCGATCATTAGATGTATCGGTCATCAGGTCACCATTCTCGACCCCTCTTTGAATCCACGAATCAGTCTAAGTTATAAGGAGAGCATATGGAAAGCTCGACGGAAAGTTGAAAGGCACCCTCCTCTTTCAGAAAGCATCAGTCCCCCGAGAATCGTCTAATGGGTGCTCTGATGTGGGACCTAATCAGAATTCCACACTGGGGTGCAGGGGGTGCCACCGTTGCTCTCTATCAGCCCCCCCACTGATCTCCTTCGAAGATCTGGAAAGAGCTCCGAGAAAGATTTCTTTCTCCGCCTCTACTCTCCCCCGCGCCATGCTAATGCCTCAGCTCGGTCGAAACCCGCACACAACGCCCAATGCTCTCATGAAATTCTTTCGTTTTGGTCGAGCTCACGCGACCCTCAAGAGCCCAATCGAGAAAAAAACGAGAGAATCAAAAGCCGTGTCTGCAGGTTTTTCTGATCATTCCGTTGCAAGCTGAGTCCTCAACAACGTTCCGGGGAGGAGCGAGTCGGACTGATCTTCTTCTCAGTAGTCGTCCGCTAAACTGACGGTGTTTGGAAACACAGAAACAACATGGCGGCTCCCAGTGGCGAACTCACAAAATCGATGCAGGAAAAACTCGTGCAATTCCAGGTAATTTCTCTCGATGTTCGTTCGATATTCGATTCTGGCGATCGACAGAGGTGCTCTGGGAATACTCTGGATGCATATCCTGGATTCTTAGCCCCCGTGAATGTGTAGGCAGCGATTCCATTTGTGCTGAGCTGTACACTTCGTGTTCAATTCGCAAATATTTTAGTTCAAAGCGAAATGACTGCGCCCGGCCCTATCAGAGGCTCCCGATCCGCAGTCGACTTTTCGGCCATGACTAAGATTGAGTTATGTAGTCGCGAGGTGACTCTGCGGAGCACAGAAAGCCCGAAGTAGAAGCTCCCTACGGAGCTTCATTTCCGCTGATTCCAACTTCTTCCGCCGTGGAACAGGGCTCATTTTCGGATGCTTGAACGCTCCGAATCAAGCCTGAAATCACGCCCGACATGCGAGCTTCATCAGAGCTCCTTGTGCCGCACTTTCTCAGGAATCCGAGCTCCCATACGTACCATCATCTCAATAACCTCTTCGCCTTGTTCTCTCAGGATATTTCAGGCTATGAGGATCTCGATCGATGTCGCGAAATTTTGGCAGCTCATAACTGGGATTTGGAGAGCGCCGTTGCCACAGTATTCGCTGAAGCATCCCCCAGTGTCGTTCGGCAACAACGCTCTGAGCGGCTTGTTGCGACAGTGAACCAAGATTATCGAGCGGCGGACTACGTCTTCACGAATTTCAGACCCCAAGGATGGATCGGCTTCGGGTAAGGAATGACGAATAATGAAGACGCTTCTAATGGCTATGGGAGGGAGCCGAAGGGCTCTTCTTATCGAGAGCGAGATATGATTCAAGACATCTTCCAGGCTTCATGTTTTCCGATGGCCGTTGGCCTTCTTCTTCCGAACGTTCTACAATGTGGCGCGCTTCGCTATTTCTCTGATGCGTCGCAATACCATGACTTCCATCGCAAACCCAGAGGGTGATGTCAGACTGTTCATCAAGCAGTTCCGAGACACTTACGGCGCTGCTGCGCCCTTCCTCGAAACTAGTTACAACCAGGTACGGAATCGGCTTCCCGTGTTCTCAGAGTCAGAATTATGAATGAGGTCCCCATCTGAAAACCTTCGGGATATTCCCAAAAAAATCTCCAGGATACTCCCTGCGTTGTGTTATCTCCCGCGGACCGCGTCTAACGAATCCCGTGCTCTCCAGGCCCTCTCGCGTGCCAAGACGGATCTGCGGTTTTTGTTAGTGTATCTGCACAATCCCTCGCATGAGGACACGGATGACTTCTGTAGACGCGTGTTCTGCTCAGAATCTGTAATTTCATGGATCAACAACAATATGCTTCTGTGGGGCTGTAGTGTTCAGCTCCCGGAAGGACATAAAGGTTAGTTCGTCGTCACATAGAGGGTATCTATCAAAGTTTTCGGCTACGATAGACTTACGGCAGACCCAGGGCGAAAGCTACTTCTTGAAGCTGGCCGAATCGAGAAATTTCGAGATCTCCCATGTAACGTAACATTTTCCTATCAGTGTCCCGTACGCTCCAAGAACGTACGTACCCCTTCATGTGTGTCATCGTTCTACGTGAGAATACGATGACCGTGGTAGCGCGAATCTTGGGTCAGCTGGAATCCTCGGACCAGCTCATTTCCATACTAGAAACCGTAAAAGGTGATAACGAGGGATCTCTGAGAGCCGCTCGACAGAAGAGGTGAGTTTCGAAGATAGCTCCGTTGGATGCCCCAACGGATTGTGTCGAGACTTGGAGCGAAACTCCATCCCTGGAAAATGTGAAATGTTCCGAAGCCGGATTCTATTTCACAATGTTCTTCTCAAAAACATATAGACAACGAAGATGTCTGAATTCCACCGAGAGGCGCGCATATTGTTTTCGTTTGGAATGTCGTTCGGTCGTACAGCTCATTTTGGCGAGGCTTTCGTAGGCGTATTCAAAATTATAACGAAGTGTCGAGCTCAATCATGAACTCCCCTCATCGGAGCGCCTCCGGTTCATCAGAAGATGAACTCGAGATGAATTTCGACGATTTCCTAGTACCTACCACGACGAAGAGACGGTATGGAGACAGACCTCGCGGGCTCCGTGTTTGCGAGAAGTCTCTCGGAGCCTCGACGAGGAAACTCGATGTGACTTTGGATCAGAAGTCGAGAGTCCTCCGTGAGGGTTCGACAACCTGAGACGTAAACCGTAGATCATCCTATCATCCTTCCACCTTCCGCTTTCCAGAGAGGTGGACCTCGCCAACCAGACGATTCGAGAGCAACAGAACGCGGCTTACGAAGAGTCGCTAAGAGCTGATCAAGAGAAAGCTCGGAGGAGACGTGAAGCCGAGGAGCTGAAGCGGAAAGAAGAGGAGGAGGCTATCCGCAGAGCAGAACTCGAAGCTTTAGAAATCGAGCGCCGGCAACAAGAAAAGCTCAAGTTGGCCGCTCAAGTCCCTGATGAACCCCCGCAAGGCCACGAGGGTGCGATACAATTGGCGCTCCGATTACCGTCAGGGAAACGAATCGATAGGCGATTCTTGAGCGAGCAGTCCATGAAGGTAATTGTTCCCGATCGATTTTTCTGAGATCTACGCTACAGTAGAAAATTTCAAGTCTAATCGGAACCTCTTTCCAGTATTTGTACTTCTACGTGCTTTGCCACACCGATGCGCCGGACAACTTCGAAATCCATACGACTTATCCTCGGAGAAAAATACCATGCGAGCCGGTGCCGCCGTCAGATCCGCCGTCCTTCAAGGAGTTCGGCCTAGCGAGAAACGAGAGCCTTATGGTTACAGATTCGGATGCTTAAGATTCTGTCGACCGATGTTTGATCCTGTAATTACGGCTCGAGAGATAGGGCGCAGAGACAGACTACGAGACGATTGTAAACATGTGTTCGTCGCGAACAAGTAAATAGATGACGAGGAAGACGCTCGAGTACTCTCTGCTCGCGGAGAGGGAAGAAAATCGACTCGATCTGTATCTCCAACTCGAATGCGTTGCTACCATTCAGCAAAGTTGTTTCCGTGCAATCCGTACATGGCTGAGACGATCATTGGGCAAATGCTGCAGCAAGGCCGCTGATCGAGTGAATGTGTAAAACCAGACGGGATCCGAAAGCATTCAATATGAGGTTCAGATTTGTTTGTTTCCCCTTGCCGACAGCTGTTGTTTCCCTTTTCGGCGATCGATCGGCTTAGCGTTAAATTTTTAGGGCGAACTCCTAAAGAAGGAAAGTCTGGTTATGTTAGTCGAGAGTTCCGTTTTGTTCCTAGTTTCTGTTTTCCTCGTCGGACTATGCAGCTTGGAGTCAGGACTTCGAGACTGTTCCGAGAGAGTAAGAGATAAATAGAAAAATAGGAGGTGAGAATGGTATCAGGCGGTTGGAGTTTGTGTACTACTGAAGTACTGGCTGAATTCGAGAGAAGATCATTCGTAGTAGGTAATTCTCGGGAACAAATGATGGGAAGTATTTAAAGGAGAGTCGTCCTCGGTCTTTTCCCTCAAGGAATCCAGGGGTTGAATACGATGTCTTGTTTGATACTACAAATGCTATTCCAGATACCTATTACGAGAATAAAGACACTTCTCGGAGGCATCCGAGTTAATGGCAAGTCGACTGAATCATTCTCTCGTCTGTGAAAGTCTGATTTGGGCCGTGCCAATGGCGCAAAAGCATCTGGACGAAAGCCCTCAGCAAAGCGGAAAGCCCCGTGGAGGACTTCTGATTGAATCGCGACAGCGGTCAGTATGTGAATATCTGGATCGAATGTGGCCTACCGATGAAGTACCGAGCCCTTTTTGAAAATCCGAATGTCAATCTTGAGCTCCCCGCTGAGAAGAGCAACGAGCTTCTTGAACGTCAAGATTCGGCTGTCCCTTGACGGCACCCGCCACTGACATTCCGAGTTGCCGACGATAATCTTTTTTCCGCCAGTACTGACGAGCGACAGTTTATTCCATCACTCGTCCTGCGGCAAAATCATTCTGCAACACGATTGCGTCTGGTATTCACCAACATAATAAACTCGAAATCATCCAGAATGCCGGGAGAGGGGCGCGGATAAACTATCGAGTCGAACGAAGAGAATCTCCGTCATATCATAGCGGCGGCTCAGCCTCCACGAAACGGAGGAATGGACAACACAATTTTGGCTTATCGCAACCTGGGAATAGCGTTGAGGTATGCCCACTTGAGGATACTTCGACTCGATCCGGAGGAGTCGGGCGTTTCGAAGATCTGAATACATGGCATGCATTCAACATTGTCGAAGACAGGAGAGTCAAAGGGGACTCCGAGACACTTCGATTCCACTCTGCAAAAGTGAGGGACGCCACTGGCGAAGCGGAATCTGTGATTCCGTGCTGACAAAGTATGAGAATGACCAGACCGAAAATGAAATCTCGGATTCAGGGGCTCAAGAGGAAGGGCCGATGCCAGAGAAGGAGATGAGGCTTCGAACGGAAGGATGCCCGATCTCTCGAGAGATCTTTCAGAAAAAAATGATTCCCTCTATTCGCCCCGAGAACCCCTTTCCTTGTTCGAAGCAAGTCTCCCGAGTAATCCATTCCGGAGCGGTCCTTGATACATGTATCTTTCGCGGTGACCCTTTATTTCGTTCTCTTCTCTGATTCATTCCGGATTCCCACGCATGTCGATTGATGCTCCCGACGATCTGAACGCGAAGTATCAGCTCTGGTAGATCTTGACTTTTTGAGTCTCCCGGACGACAGTAGGACTCCGTCCGGAAAAATGCTTTCTCGAGGCAGAATCAAATGCGGAATACACTTCAGTTCGTAGGGGTGACATCGGTGCTTGCTTTCTACTTGCGACCGCAAACGGCGAACTTCGTTTGTCTAGATGCCGCTCTTGGCGGAAAACCGAGCTTCGGTGTTTGTTTGGCTCGACGCAGGACCTTTCTCGCGGGCTGGGGCAAGCATGAGTTAATGAGATAGGCGGGATAGAGAGCGGGAATCGCGGTTTTTGCGCGGTCGTTGGTCTTGTTCGAAGAGCGGCGGCTGCAGCTCTGCGACAAAGAATGAGGAGCGAACACAATGAGCCGCGTTCCCAGTTGTCTTCCGGGGCTCGGTTCTGGCTGACCCGCGGCCTGTTCATTCGGACTATTTCAGAAGCCACTGCCAGCTCGACTTCCGGACACCAGTGACAGGAATGAACATTAGAACAAGTCCGTTACGGAATACGGAAGGCAAGATTCGCCCTTTTGTTCTAACTTTGGCCAAGTTCGGTTATCTTTTAGAATCTTCGCTAACGAAGCGGGGCAAGCATCAGTGCTCCGACGTCGAGCGAGCCCAGGGAGCTAAACTGTTAGCCCGGTGCTCTGACACACCGACAGAACACGCGGCAAGTTGATGGCTCGCGGCGTATGAGACGTGAGCGGTCAGGACGCCTTGCTGACGGTCTTCTAAAGTTCATCAACCGGGGGAAACTTTCTCCTTTTCTCCTATTTCAGGGCCAACTGCTTGCATTAGATAAATATTGGATACAAGCATGAAGGATCAATGTTGTCATTCGCGGTTCCCCTCCCGCATTCCCGGCTGTCGTTTCGCGGCAGGATCCGCTCGCGTGGGGATTATCATCATCGGACCGCGAGAATTTACGTCCTATTCGGGGTTTCTCAAGTCAGGCGAAAATAATAAATTCATTCTCGTTTCCGAACGCCTCCCTCATCCAATCAGCGACCTTGCTTCTGAGCATGAACTCAAAAGTCCTCGTACGATGCAAGAGTTCCGGGAATTTCGAACCGCAGTTGCGAGGGTGAAACCCAGTATATCTATGCAACGGACCGGATGCTGAGGGCCCCACCTGTCGAAACTATACGATTAAACCAGCGGGACTGAAAGCTTTCTTCACCCATTTATGGTTGAGACATATATTGAGCGACAAGTTCATTATCTAAAGCCGTCGAGCAGATGGATGGCGTCGCTTTCCGACCGGTCGATTTCTCAACTGAGCAGCGTTCGCAATGGTCACCAAGTGGGCAAGAGTGCCATCCACTAACACTGTCCGCCTCCCCACGCTTGACTTGCATCAGAGGGGTTCGGCCGAACACGCTTTGCTCAACACTAGCTCCGCTATTTCATGACAGCCTTCATGTCCCCCATCTCGATCTATATTTTGAAATATCTTGGAAAACCGATATACTGCCTACTTGTACTGCATCTATGGAAACATACAAGACTCTTTGTTTTGCGCTTCGACGGAGCTCGAGCAAGGGGAGGGCATTCGCAGGCTCGAGGCTCTCACGCCGAGGTTCAGCGGTTCTGAGCGAGCAAAGAATAATTGACGTGGGATCACCACGCGAGTAACCCACGAATAACACCTGGTGTACTTTCCTAGATCTCCATTTCATCAAACCATCTCGATCGTTTTTTCACCACTAGTCTTGCATCTCTCACGATTACTTGTCAAAGGCTCCCGATTCCTTTTCGTCGAGGGAGTGTTTTTTTTCGGGACCCTATCGATTGGCAGCATCTTTTCATGGCAGGTTGCTTTGTTTTCAGATTAACGGTGTCTTGCCGCGTGGGTGTGTCTTCGTTCCATCAGCTCAGCATCGACTGGCGGAAGCTGTTTTGTGGAAAACGTAATCCTAGCGTCCGTCAGTCGCAGACCGTTCGTTGTGATCCACCTCAAACGACATTCTTCGACCACTAGCTAGCCTGCTCGTCTGGCCTGAGTAGATGTGGTAGCGACTCGCGCACAAACGATCTGTCAATATGAAAAGCTCTACTGGAGACAAGACGAGTAAGACACGTACGTAAGCCGTAATGGCCGGAAACAGTTGTTGCAATTCTGCCCATAACGGGTGGCGTTTTCCTCTTCCAAGTTATGCGTATGGCAAATGCCGTATGACACTGGCTCTGCCTCGCCGCCGCGACGCGTCGTTGCTCGGGAAATTCTGTCAAGACCTGGGTCGACAACCAGCGCTATCCGCTCCGAATGGTACAGGTACCAGAATCGCGTACGAACTCATCGAATCACCTTGCACCGAGTCCGGGAGAGTCCTGGCGTTCGGTTTGGAAGTACAACCTATTCTGATCGTCAAACTCCGGAGTTCAAACAGGTCATCGGAACACAGGGCGGCGAAATCAGCCTTGCGGCAAATGAAAGGGTTCGATTTCAAGGTTCGATCGTCGAAGAAAGTTCCGCAATTGCTTATCGCTGCCTCCGATGAACGGATCTATCGATTCGAGTGAGAGCGACGCGAATCCGACAATGACCCGTGTTTATGAACAGATGGGGAGGGAAGAGTCCTGCCGGCCGTAAATATATACTTAACAAAAGTTCTTGCACGCACACGGCAAGTGTAACCGAGAGGCTTTACGACTGCTTCTCTCTGATACCAACATCAATGACCGAAACGATGCCACAATGTTTTTAGCTGTAATTTTTCATCCGGGTGACACTCGAGCCAATTTCACTCCTTCGCGGATAACTCCCACCTCGATTCGGAAAGTTCCGAATAGTCGTGAAATCCGTAAGCGACGATCGTCGTAGCCGCCGACCCGTTCTATCTGGATTGTGGTAATCCGCATACATCTTGTCAACTTTTTCCGTGTCGAGCGACTCTCTCCACATTACGTAAACAAAGTCAACGCTGACTTTTCATTGTGTGTATTGCTCCAATCACTGCAGACACTGTACGGAGCATACCGCAACGGGGATAAACGGGCAGGGCTCACAATAATTTCGCGCAACGAATGACGTTCTTCATCGGCTCGACTCAAGGTTTCCAGTCGGACGGATCCCGACTTGGGCCTGCTAAAGTGAAAACTTCCAGCGCGTCTCGCTCTTTAATTACTTATTGTCTCCATGATCCATCCATCTGGGTAGATTAAGCAATAACAATTTGCATAGACACTGACAATAATTGTTCACTCGGCTGAATGAGTGGCCCGACAGTGGGTCGCCCCTTTCAGTTCTGACGGAGTGGGCTTCTTCGGATTCATTAGGGCATAGCTCGGGACCTTCATGAGGACCGTCGCGTCGTCGTACGGGATGTGCGTCTTACGTGAACGTGTTATACAACAGACGCGCGCGGTAGATCCGTAGCTCAAGCCGCGCGCAAGGCCGGAAGCGCTCCATTGTCAGGCGGTCAATGCCCAGGGCGCAAACTATGGACGTCGTTTGATGATCATCCAGGAAGTCCGCGTGTATGTTGGCGTCACTGAGCGCCACACAAGGCTATAACTCCGGAAATATCTGCTCCGACGTCGTTTACCGAACGCTTCAATGATTCGGACCCCAGGACGCTGCTGCAGCCTACTCATGCGACGTCGAGTCTCCCGGTCGATGGTGATACAGTTCTACATGACTTCGAAGATTTGGTACACAAGAGCCGCGCCGCCTCGACCGACCGCTCCTCTCGAGGCTTGCAGCCCTCCCGTCGCTTCCGGGCCGCGGAGTTGATTGCGACTCATGGGGCGCGAACCGCGGTACCACGATCAAGCTCCCACAATGACTACGATTCTCGTCAGGAGCGAGCCTAGGCTTACTCGATGCGTACGATGCGCTCCTTCAGAGCTTTTGCGCATGATTGGCGGTTGGCGGGTCTCTCTGTGTAGACCGCTCATCGTCGAGCTGGCACCGAGCCGATAGCGGCGTACCGTCGCACGGTACAGTGGATTGCGTTTTGCTCCGGGAGATTGGATCCCGCGGAGCAGATTTCCGGATTTCGGTGTATTCAAGGGCTGAGCCCTAGCACAGTGTACGTCAAAGGGGGACCGCCTTCGGCTGTGTGGGGAGCCGGTACCCCTTCCATGGAAAACCGGCGCGGCTTGCAAGGTCATCCCACACCACGAATAGCAACGTGACACCTGACGGATAGAGCGCAAATAGAATTTGAATGAAGCAATCAAGACTGTGTACCGATGCCCTGATTTCGGCAGGTGCTTCCGATGTCCACACTGTGGACATGCGGTAATTCTGCGTTTATCGCGCAATCCGTCACTGTGGTGGATCGATACTTTCGTCAAAGCGTCTGTGGGTTTTCGGGCTGATTAGCGTCGCATGGCGCCTAGAGCTCTTTACAGCGTTAAGGAGGGACGGGATTGAATTAGTTGCGATCGTACAACGCGCTTTATTTGAGTAAATCATTGAACGGTATCACGTCGAACTTCAAGAGCTTTCTGAAGCTTTCGTTTCATAGCAGTACATACAGCAATCATCCGGCTCGGTTCATAGCGAGTTTTTTTTTGACAGACATTTGAGGATTCCAATAGCGTCGTCCCGCATTTTTCGTTCAATCCACAGCGAGACCAGGGCGGTTCCATCCTGCGGCATCCTTTTTCTCCTCAGGAGAATCACCGGTCACAGGACACCGCAGCTTTGTCCGGAGTGAATAAATAGCTTTTATATAAATGTTTATATATGTACAAGAACCTATTGGTCTTTGACGGGCTTGCTCTGGTATCTCTGGTCTTGGCCCCTAATGTAGTTTTTGTAGTAGAAGTCAGAGAACAGGCAAGTGAACAGAAGAGCCTCAAGGAACATCAATGAAGCCATGGTTTTCGGGAAACCGCAGTCGTGAACGATTGGAATTAAACCGTGGACCATCAGAGCGAAGAATTGTGCGATCTGGAACTGGGTCACGTATTTTTTCCACCACAGGTTGGGTCTGATCGAGGGCGGCAGTGCCGAGAGACCGTAGTATCCGTACATTACTACGTGCACCGCAGTGTTGAGAATTGGGAACATGGCAACCTGACCGGTGATTCCGCTGTTGATATCCATCCAAACGGTGGCGAGCGCGAGCGAGTGATGGAGCAGGTGGAGGAACGAAATGTGATTGTTCTTCTTCAAGAGCACGAAGAACACGGTGTCGAGCAGTTCACCGATCTTCGTCAACATGTAGAACCATCCCCACCACATGAGGACAGTATCCGTAGGCGAGGTGGCTTGGCAGAACACATCGTACGGCCCGATCTCCTGGCCGATGTACGTCAACTTGAGCGTGAGTATACAAAAGAATAAGCTCAGTCCGACCATTATCACGTTATAGCAAACCACGATGGGGCGGATGTTGAACGCCTGGCGTTTTTCCATGAAACGAGGTCCGAGACTAATGCAGAAGTAGAGATAGGCCACCAGGATCGAGGCCACGAACACGGGACTGCCCATCATGGGCCAGTCCCGAGTTCGCGGGTCACCCTTGCTCATGACCAAGCCCAGATACGAGTGGTCGGCCTGGTATGGAGCTTCGACGGCCATTGTCACCGGCTGATTTGCTTGCCAAGAGTTGATGGTAATATCCGTGGGCACCGACGTCTGAGTAAACCAACACAGTGACCGGAACCCTTACGAGAAGCAGCGGCTTATAACGACAGAGGGGGAGCCGGTAAGGAGTCCTGGCTGAAAGGGTCTCACCCAAGGTCGGAAAGAGCTGAAAGCCGACTGTGGACGGTTTCCGGATGAGCCGCGACTCGTGATACCACACAATGAAATGGAATACAGTCGATTAGTCCGCGTGAAAAGTATCACGTCCATGTTCGACAAAGCGCTTTGAATCTTCAGTGTTCCGGCAATACAGCTCGAGAGTCGATCGCTCGATCGAGCACGATAAATTCAGAAATACCGCGCGCACTGCTTAACAGAAGGTCAATGTCTTGAACCGGCTCTTACTGCGGGGCATGCTACAATGTATACACAACTAACGCTGATCTCAACCCCAACGGAAATCTGATCGATTAGGTAGCTCTCATATTCTGTTCAGTCGAATTTGGCTCGCGAACTAGTAGATCGGGAGTGTCGGGAGCAGCGAGACAGAACGGAGCTCATGTCGAGTGATAGATAGAACTTGGCAAACAGGAACTTACGGAGCGAGCGACTCCATGGCTGAGAGAGCAGCCGGAAATTGAAATTCAATCAATCCACCTGATAAATGAACATGAGATACTACTCTATGGATTAGAAAAATATGTAGCTTGGAATGTCTTATATAATCAAAATGACTGTATCTCCGAAATCCCGCGTGTTCGAGCGATCCCGAGATGAGGAATGAATACATCGATGAAACGATGTATTCAGCAACAATGGTTGTTCCCGTTGTCGTACAAGCATCAATACAGGCATTTGGGTCAGTTGTCTGCGACCTGCCCCTGTACTTGAGCGATACGTCTTCGGAAACTCCGCCGCCCGCTCCTAGTTGCTCTTAGATATAGTCCCAGTAGCATTGGCTGCAGGGGCTCCGCAGACGTTCATCTGCTTTTCATCAGCTACCAATCTTGGACACGAAATGTTCTGCCTGTATGCGTGGCATTTGCCTTCTCAACCATCGGGCGCGTATTGAATTATGCTCTGTGTAAGCGCAGATGGAACGGCAGGATTTGAGAAACGAGATTCAGAAAGCGTTCGCGGGGGAGATTCCGGGCTTCCCGGGATGATGATAAGATGATATGCAAGCGAAGCGCAGGGACTCAAGTCAGCCGGGTGGAAAACTCTGTGTCTGGAGAGGAAGTATGAGTGAATCGCGTTCTTGGACGAAATCAAAAACCAAGTTCTTCGTTGCATTTTAGAAACAAGCTGAATCGTATGCTGGAGGAATGGGGAAGATGCCCATATCCAGGCTCGTCTCAGATTTTTGAGACGAAGGCTTCTCATCCATTCATCTCCACCGCGAGCGATTCTCGAGCTTCAGTGGCATATTAGAGGATCTCCACAGGAATTTCCGAGTCTGTTCGGGTTTTTCCGGACCAGGGTCGAGGGGACAAGCGTTCCGACGTCGGTGCCTTATTTATCGTTTGTATCATCATCATAATTGAATCATCAAACGTTATAAAGGCATTACTTATGTGAAAGGTACCTGGAATGGATGATGCATGCGATCTGGATCAGGGTTAGGTTTCTGCCCACGGAGTGGCCCCATATTCTGTCGACAAGCGTCCCTGCTCTTCTCGAAACCTGTGGCCGAGAGTGCACACTTGTCAGAAGTTCCATAATTATTGTGCTTCTACCCCAAAGGGCGCTCGAGATCCGATCAGATAGCGGAAATACCATGAAAAAAAAAAGTGTTAAAGACCAATCGCTTCCTGAAGCATCCTCTTCCTCAGTGGGCTGACGAGTACCGGATTTGAATGACGTTATTTGCGATAGGTGACCCGGCTTATCTTCTGTCTTCTGTCTGAAGAAGATTCCCAATTCAAGAACTTGACTCGTATTTCTGTTAACCTTGTCAGTGAATGTTAGATCGGCGGAAAGCGAACTGACTGATTTCATTTACTGACGTCACACAGCTGCATTTGGATCAGCTTTGCTATTGAGAGATGTCTTCTCTTGGAAACAAACTTCATCTTTTCTTACAATGTCGAATGACGGCATATGAGCTCAGCGGAAGGAATCGGCGCTCGAGAGAACATCCGAGGAAGCTCAATGCGTGACCCTCGCCTCGAGAATTCCTTCAACTTCCCTGCTTCTCTGGTCAGCGTCAATCGGATATTGTCCCAGCATGCTTCTCATTCGGAGAAGCGTTCAATAGGGCGCCGTTCGGGCGCTGTATCCGAATGGGAGCGCTCGAGCGAACTGGTTTCGTGATGTCCAGCAGCAATATTAATTCTATAATGAATTTTCCGAATCGTAGCGAGCGCAAGAGCGAAAAAGTTGTCATCAAGGCGAGAGACGATCTGTGGAAAACCAAGCCGAATAAGCTTCGGCGAAGGAGGAGCCCACGCCGCACGACGCCGCGGGAGACAATTGCAGAATGAAACAACCACGAGCCGCACGCTTATTCCAGCTAGCTTCTTGGCAAACTTATTCCGTCAGCTCAGACTTCTCAATCGTATCTGAATTATGAGAAATGAATAAGCTTTATTCCTACACATAAATACAGTATAAATATCAGATACATAAATAGATATCAATCAGAACCATCAAGCATGTAAGGGTCAGCAGTATCAAATCCACAGAATTTGTACATTTTTCCTGTCATGGGCGGGAACTCTCGGTGGGACTATCACACTCGTGTTCGCGCCTCGTCACCATGCATCAAATTAACAATCAGATAGCGGAACATACTGGAATCCGCTTTCGAGTAGAGTAGAGTAGACCTTTCGTTATAGGATCGACGAGGACTCGATTGTCGGCAGAAACGCTCGACTTCGGGAAGGACGCCTCGCATTTCTGTACAGGAGATACGCCTAATTTATCGGGATTATCTAACATAAATACTTCCGCTGCCAAAATACCTGCTCACAACAGATCCTGCCCTTACTTGCTAACACTCGACTCGTTCCGGTGTTATTGATCACCCCGGAGGAACCTATCTCTGCTCGGAGGCTGGCAACGACTGGGGAACGAATGGCCAAGTTCCGAGTCGGAGATTGCGAGTCTCGCGCTACCAAGCCGAGAGTCCTCCGCTTATCATTCACTTTCATGTGATCAGTATGGATAACAATCACTGCTTTGTGTTGTAGTGCATTTGGAACCTCGGTCGCATTCCGTAGCTCGATTAAGCCGCCGGCGTGGACCCTGTGATCTCCACGACCACGGTCACGAGGAAAAATACAACGTACAACAGAATCAAGTAGAAACCAAATTCTTTTCGAGATTCGAACCCCAAAATGAACAGAACGACCATGGTAGACACAAGTGATTGGCAAACAGTGGCGTACAGCAACCCGATGATCCATTTGTACTCGAGCTAGGGAAGAAAATTCTGTGAGGCTTGAACGGCTAATGATGATATGAGCGGAATAAATGCACCGACAGGGCCGCGGCGCCCATGGGAATAAGTTGGGCTCGAACTCACCGATATGTAGCTCTCGTCAGATTCGCTGAGTAGTTTGTAAGTGTATGGCAGTCCGAATCCGAGCAGGAGGTCTGAAAAATATTGTTCATCCAGAAAAGTCCAGGAGAATCGTGATGTGTTCAATGAAACTTCCCTTATAGAGATGAGTTGATCATTGACCACATAGGCGAGTACTCAGTGCTGATTTCGCCCATATCCATCACCATACAATTCGTTCCAAACTCACTCAGAAGGGGTCCGCCGAAACAAGCAGAGATAGCCATTCGCGGATAGCCTTGGCGTGCCACCGACAAGTTCGCGATAAAATCCCCGATCGAATTCCCCCACGCGAGAACTGTCATCCCCAAGAAGGCGTCCGTCAATTTGAGAACTATGCCGAACGTCTGTAAGAGCGTATTATCAGTCAGGATCAGTTGACTTTCAATCAGAGGTATTAATCACCTTCTATCCCCCGATGCTCCTTAATTTCAAGTCCCGGGCCTCCGGGAGCGTCAAAAAACTAGGGACAAACCTTGAGGAGTGAAACGACTTCATTAGCGACGACGTACACCCACGAGACTGATACGACGAAGCCAACGAAAGCGTACACGGAGTGATATACCGGGGGCTCTTCATGTTTAGATGTGAAGAACACGAGTGCAGCTAAGCAGAGTCCACCTATGAAGACCAACGCAGGAACGGGAAGTTCGTCACCCACAGTACTCGCGTATGCTGCGGAGAGAGCGGAAAATCGTAAATCGAATCCAGATACTTTTAATGGTTTTTGATAATGATTGAAGAACAGGACGAAAACTAGTTCGAGCGCTCACTCTGAGAAACGAAGCAAAGCGCCAAAGGTGACGTGACGCAGTGCAGGACATTCAATAAACGACACCAGTTGTTTTTATGATTGTCGTTGTCCTTGACGGGCGTCGTCAGCGCCAGAATGATATACAGTGGAGCCTGCGTCGAATAAAAAATCCTTATCGTGAGGTGTGCATCAGGGATCAGAACTCCTTGATTTGCATTCTACATAGATGAGTTCATTCAGTGTGAGAGATTTTGTCTCACCGACCTTCACCAGAGTGAACCCACGCCAGAACCAGCTCATCCCTTCCCAATCTTCCGCATCGATCGGTGATATTTGCGTGAGAAACTCCTCGAAAGGCTGGAGCTCTACGACCTGCAAAGTGAATATTGGATGAAATATTGAAGAAGCCCCTATGATCCAGGCGCGAACGCTGATCGCGTCTCCTCGATGGCTCGAAATGAGAAAGTGTGATGCGACAGACCTTTTCTTCCTCCGCGCCTCCATCGAGCGCATCTGGGTCCTCTGGATAGTCCATATTTTGAGTCCCTCTCGTTCCATTGGACAACGAACGGTCTATATCGAGCGTCCTCTTCTCGGCGAATTCCCCAGAAAAACTGTGCGATAAGTCCCCATTCGTCGGAAATTTGAACTCGGTCCGGGGGGTGGCTGTGGCTGCAAGGGTTTTATGTGTCAGAGTAGATGCCGTCTCCCGCGATGCTCGTCGCTCCTCCCCTAATCCGTTCGGACGAAGACCGTCTCAGAAAGACGTGTCCTGGGAGCAGACCTGGAAAAACTACACACAGAATTGCCGGGAAAACTGGACGCTGAAAAACCAGGAAAACTCACGAGTAGCGGCAGTTACGGTGAAAACTGGGTTGTCGAATCCATAATTAGGTGTGAGTTGATTTGGTTTGGGTTCGCTTGGTCTCCTCAGCACGCTGTTCGCACGTGATCGGCACGTGGACGAAATGGAGTTGGTTCTGGAGTTCGCTCGAGAGTTAGCTCGTGAATTCACCCTCGAGTTCCCTGGCGTGGAGCGTCCCGAGGCTCGTGAGTTCGATCTCGAACGGTTTCCTGACAGTGTCGTTTTTCGTCTACGAACGTAATTTCGGAAGCTCGATCCTGGAAAGCAAAACTCGTCCGTCAGCCTGGTTGCGTCTGTCGGAAGGAGACACAAAAAGCTATTCCATAGAAAATGATCGGAGGAGAAAAATTGGAGGGAAGCTGGATCTCTCCTAGATCATCGAGAAATCCCAGGACTCACGTCGCAATACGAGTCCCACAAACTCCGGATCATCGGGCATCTCCGCTCCTTCAACGACTTCAACTGCAAGACGATACAGAGGATTATACAGCTGCTACCGATTCCGCAATCTGCTTCAGGGAGAGACCGAGCTCTCGTCGGGGTTCTCGGGAGGAAAACGTTGCGGAGAGCGAGGCGAGAATCCGAACACTCACCTGACTTCGGGAGACCGTCGATGAAGTCAAGTGTATTCGAAATAGAGTTGATTTGACGTCTCAGATCAGTGAATGCCTCTTGTGAGGTCCCACGCTGTTCTTTCTCCAGCAGTTTTGCCTTGTGCCTTTGATAGATGATTGAGGACACAACGACCACGACGATGTAGACGAGGTAAACAACGATGAAGCCTATTCCGACAGAGCGAGTGAGAGAATATGAGCGGGATCCTCGGGGGTAATCCCTGTTCCCGGACCTTTTTGTCGTCTAAGGCACTTGATCACTCGCTTCCGAATCGGCTCGAGAAGAAGAAAACTCACCGATTGATGTAAAAAGAGTGATCTTCTGCTTGTAGAAGACGCAAAAAGCCCAATAGGTGGCTCCTATGTAGAATATGATGTCACGAAGGAAAGGCCTCTCCATGATCTTGAAGTTCTGCGTGAGACAAATGCTCCCCACGACGACGCAGGTCACGAAGGTACCTATAAAAAGAATCAGTCGGAATCCATCCGGCTCGCTATCGCCTCGCTGGTCCAAGCATAGTTCGAAAGTTTCTCCGGGATACTCTGTAGACTTCCGAGGAGACCACCAGAGCAATTCGAAATGGGGCCTCCGAGGAACAATCTGAATTTCTCCTTGAACTTGATTCATGAGATTCCCTAAAGAGGTCGGCTTACGTCTGCTACAATGACAGGAACAATCGAAACCAAATATGTTTTAATCGGGAATCATGATTTCGGTGGCCGACGTGACTCGCTCACTTGCGCGTGTCGGCAATCAATCATGGAAAAATCGATCTATTCATGCAATGCTGTTGCCGAACCAGAGATCGATGACTCACCTGCACCCAATAACTCTCCGACCACGAGAGCAGGACGTGCTTGTCCCACACCCGCAATCGACGAGATGATGTCCGGAGCGCCATTCCCGAACGCGAGAAGCGTAACGCCCTGGAAACGTCATGTTTGTCGTTGAGATCGGAAAAGGTTTTCTGGTGGGGAATCCCGGGAAGGATCGATGTGAACTCTGTCGTGCGGAATTATTTGACGAGCTCTTGACTCGAGTAGATCAGAAGATGCGTATAGGTAAGGCTTACCGCGATGTTCTGAGACAGCCGCAGAGTCTTCGATATGGAAATCAGCGACGGAGTGAGGCTGAGATGGAGTTGTTCTTTATTGCTGATCGATGCGGATATTATAATTATACGAATGGATTCGATCGATTCTAATTAACTCATCTCGGATCGTGGGACGTTCGAAGAATGTTACTCACAAGTCGTCGGCGGTCACTCCGAGAGCGATGAACAGTAGAATCAAACCGACGGCCTGAGGAATAAGTCACTGAGCGTCGATCGTCACGGCGATTGCGGGTTGATCATTTAGTATCGAGAGGGGGGAAGACAGAACACGAGCATCGAGCTCGAGAACTATTCTCTTACCAAGATGACAAGCGGTGGGATCACAGTCCCAGAACCGAACGTGCAGTACACGAATGTCGAGTATGCTATAAAATTCTCGTCTGAATGGCATTCTGTGTTGTTGATGATGAATTCACATTGTTGGGCCCAATCGACATTGTGAACCTCCTCACACTGAAATGAAATGAGCAATCGTTCAGGACGACCTAGGCCCCGAGAGCGAGGTTCGGCGGTGTTCGGCTTTCATCGTCCATGTCCGGAAGCTCGCAGACTACGGCGGCGAAGCGTGCTCAAGCTCCCTGTTCGAAGGCCGAATTCGCAAGGTCGAGTGCGGCTCCCAACAAGCCGTGCGACAGGAAGTCTCGCGATCTTGTTTTTCCCTCTTTCGGAGGAGTGGTTACATAAAATCACAAAGCCAGCTCAAAGCAGCGTCATTGACTCAGATCTTGTGTGCTCCTCGCAAACATTCCGAGAGCTAGACTCGGCGTCCGACGCTGTCGTTTGTCCGGTCATTACTGTAAATCGATCCCGTTATCGACATTGTTGGACTCGAGCGAGCCAACAGAAAACCCGCCGAGTTCGCATATTATTGCCGACACGATCCTTCCGCCTGACACGGACAGTGTCTCTGTCCACTTCAAGCTACGCACGCGACACTCTCGCACAACACGACGGGGATCGGAATAGCTTGTATGAACTCCCGAAGCAGCTCGAAGTACTTCGAACGGGAGCTCGTTTATTATACATTGAAAAATGTCTTAAGATATACTATCCCCTCGTTGAGAAACATCGTGGCTCGTTCCAAGCTTGGGGATACAATCGATTCCTAAAGCGAATCAGTCCGTTCCGGGAGCGATCGCGGCGCCCGTCTCCGCTAAATAATGAACACATTAACACATATTTGAGATGTTTGAATCCACTTCCGCGAACTCGAGCCGACGATGATCGACGAAACATGTTATTTCTGTCGAACATCACCGTAAACAACCGAGTTCCTGATCTCTGGTCACCGCGACAGCACTCCATAATTCGATGACCGAAGATACCGGTGGCCTCCTCTGGGACTTTTTCATCCGAAAAGCTCTCTAGACAAATCATGAGTCTGCCGCTCGCCGCAATTTCCGACATCCACTCTGCGACGCTCCGCTGCCATGTGCTCCCCGGTGCGGTGATTAGCGTCGGGAGGCCATCGTCCAATAGCTAGCCCAGTCGAGCTCCATCGCTCAGACGGGGACAAGGATCCACAGCGAGAACTAGGAGCATCACTTGACTTCGGCGAGCTGGACGACTATTTCCGATCACACAATCGCGATTCCGATAGGAATCTTTCACCACTGCATGATCACTATCGGAAGTGATTCTCTCGATAAAAAGCCCGCGGATTCGGATGCTCACCCCAACTTTGAAGATCCACATGATTGTCCGAAGGAGCCTGTGTAGGCAAGATCAAGTGTCCATCAGCGGGTCATCTCCTTAGGCGCACCTTCTGGTGCGGATTCCAGAGAGTTCGTCACAGAAGTCGTCTTTTCTGTTAGAGAGTGTTCCGTTTTAGGAGTGCGCGACAAGCGGCTGATCAAACTTCTTAGGAGGCAAAGCGACCAGCTCGCACACAGAGAGCGAAATTCCCTGTCGCCACTCGCGAACGGCCTTGGTCCCGACGAAGTCCCTCAGTTTCCGCAGTCCGATGGCGATCACGGGTGGAACAACTCGGATTTGCGGGCCGCTGCTGGAAATGGCTGTTGCATGTCTCACTGCGCGCACTGAAGTTGAGAGTAGCAGTCCAGACGAATCGGCTTCGCCGGTCTGGCCGGCATCGAGGTCTGCTCAATCATTTTCGCTCTCTCCTCACCGTCAATATTTGCTCTCTATACTCTGACTTTAGGCGATCAGCGTGCCATGCCAGTTCATCCGTGGCATCTGATGAGTTCGGCAGATTCCTCAACTGTCAAGTTTTCCGTGCAGTTTTCTGAATGGGGTCGCGTGAAGCTGTGCTTTTCTCCCTTGAGTGACATTGATCTGGTGCTCCGGCGCGGCTAAAACTAACTTGCGAAGCGGGACAGGTGCCTCTGATAGCTCTGACGCTCTCCTCCATGAATGGGCCGCAGTTGACTCGCAGATCGATTCGATCGGTCACTCGCGATGTCCCCATTTAGAGATCCGTCTCAGTCAATCAGCTGATCACGCAGCACAGATACGCAAACCGAGAGCCATTCGAGACCACTGAAAAAGTCCGTGAAATTTAAACTTCTAGTGCCGAATAGTCTCTACTAGAGTCATTGACGCTCGGCCACGATCAACTTTCATGGGCGGGTTCTCGTCTCCCCACGGCCCGCCCGATGCTCCGTAGCGGAGCGTCACACGGTTGCCTGAATTTCGGGGTACAATATGGACCGTGATTACGGGGTTTGTCGGTATCGTAGGGTTTAAAGAGAACTTCCATCCACCACGATTGGAATAATTATGTGCTTCACGGCAGCACGGTAGAGTTGCCGTCCGTCTCGTTTCCGTTGGAGTTGTTGCGTTTTGTATGATTCAATTCCACTCCAGGATCGGGGAGGACCGGATCCTCCGTTGAAGAATTTCTCCCCGAATTATGCATGATTTACCGCTTTTCGAAAATAATCCACTGACTCATCCCATAGTGGCCTCAGTTCTCTCGCACTGATTCATGATTCGCGTGAATTCCCATGAACTCCTCTCGCCATGCTCTAGCGGTCGGTCGGAGGGTAGCATCACGATGCTCGGCGTGGACATCGCGGGAATATGTTTGGGCGACGATCGGAGACAAATGTCCAAGATCCGGTCGTATCGGCACGATCATGCCTCTCTCCAATGCTTCCATTTCTCCGAGGAGAGCCGTACTTTTCGCTCTTGATCACCCGCACTTGATCGATTCCGAAACTCGGAGGGAATGCCGAAGTAGAATCTCTATTGGAAAGTAGTGCAAAGCTCGAACGAGTCAGTACTCGTTCGATGGTGGTCTCCTCTCGCAATCAATCAAGATCCCCAAGAACACCCGAGGATCACATTCCCGGCGCTCCGTCCATCGATTGGAGATTAGGTTCGCGAAGGTACCATGGTCAGTCGATTAAGCTCGAGCTCGATATGCATCGAGAGTCGAGAACCTGCGCAGAGAGTATCCTGCGACCTTTCCCAGTCGGATTGAATCGCTCATGGCATAAACTACAATCACAACCCTTCCAGGCTCACTCGTGGCAGCTGAGGAGCATAGGGGGGAATGATGATATCTCACACCCGGTCCTGCGCAGCCTGATCCGCCAGCGTCGAGAATACTTCGGATATCATCGAGCATTCACTCTTTCAATTTTAAATGTTGAAAAGAAGCTTTCAGAGCCATTTGTTTGGATGAATCGATATCACCAGGGAGATATCTGATATATTTACCGGAATATCCTCATGATCCGTATGAACTAAATCCATTATCGTGGTTCATGCGACACGAGTTCCGATTTCTGATGTAGGATCACACAAAAAAAACGCACAGGATGGTCTGCCGTCGGCCACTGAAGCCGCTGATCCGCTGAACGGGTTCACAACAAGTTGTACCGACGGTTGCAAGGAGTGGCGTGGAATCTCTTTAAGACTTAGAGACCATTCATCTGTACTAAGCCTGCTTGCAGGATTTAGTGGACCAGGGATAAGTTTGAACGGCGGAACTCCCTTTGGATAGATTCCCGGGAGATACTTATCTAAACCAGCAGCGCCGGAGGAATGAAATCAAGGCTGCAATTTTACGAGCCCGACCGGTTCCCAAAGGGCAGGATTGCTTGACTCGACTTTTGGGCTACTCTCTCTCTCTCTCCGAGGAACATCGTTCTTTTCTTTCTGGATACAACGACGGCAGGTGACGCCATAGCATGTTTCATGGCGTCACCGGTGGCTACCGCCTCCAAGCCAGAGGACGTGGTCTATAAATCTCGATTTCGGCCCAATCCGAAGATCTGATGGATCCTTCCTTATACTGCAAATAAGCTTGACCTCTTCATTTCCTGGGATGAGATTTTTCCCCAAGAGAACTACTCGAGACAGCATTCGCGTCATGGAGCGGAACCTTCCCATATGTTCCCGGTCTATTAGTCACCGCCATTATTTCGAGACATGACTTCCAAGCTGTGCGACGCAGTGTTTCTGTGGTGTCGAAGTGACGACCTGCGACATTCGAGCCTCGGCTCCGCAGATGGTCAAAGAGGATTGGTCGAATATTTATCTCCTCGAGCGAACGTCCAGATGAATTGTTCCAGAGGGAATTCAGGTACATGAGTCAAATAATATCCAACTCGCTTTCCAGTTCACGGTGACGTGACTCATTTCGCCGATATCGACTTCCGGGTTATGGCACTCAAATGGAGAGAATTTCCCCGAAGGGCGAAGGTTCTGATGAGGAAGCCTTCGGAAGTACTCCATAGATGATTGAAGCTTTAAAGGAAAATCACCGCGGGATCGATAGACTCGGGAACAGACTCGATAGAATCGAATCGGGTGACGATTTTTTCCCCGATGAGGAGGAAGGGGCATTCCTTCGGTTCTCGTCAGCCTGAGCGAGTCACCTTGAACGCTTGCATCAAGGGAGGAGATGATTTAGTTCCAGGTGAATAACACTGGCTGAGATCGTTCGCAACCGACCACCGGAATCGTAAACTGGAGAAAAAGGCATTTAGGCTTGGAATGCGAACCGCTCAGACCGATTTCCGACCCTGGATCAAATCATTGGGACCTATCATCTCGGTTGCGATTCAGTCATCAATATGCGGGGCGATTTTTAGCCAGAAGAGGCATACCACTTCGGGTTTGGCCTAGGACTCACTTACGTCGCTGTAGGACCCGAAAGCCCTCGAGTAGTAGTTTATGGACATACCACACAGCTCCTTGCCCGTCCTCGTGAACCATGAAGACACCACTCTAATGGATTTCTATGTTTCCAATAGAACTTTCTCCGCAGCGCAGCACTGGCGACCGGCTGTCACGACTTCACTGATTTGGTCAACGCCTTGGTTCTGCTGCTACGATGGATCGTAAAACAAGAGGATCCAACTAAGAGTGATTTTCGCAGCGTAGCAGGAGTCGAGACATATTTTCTAGTCCCCGTGATCACAACTCACAATGCTCCGCGTATGTCTGTCGCAATTTACGGATGCTCCGGAACAATCGCATACCACAAAGCTCGACGTCGTCGCACCGACAAGCTCGTTCTTTGGGTTCCCAATTAACAGGTAGCATTGCATATTTACATAGATGTCAACTGGCCGAAGGTCGTTCGACAGCACGTCGAAGCCCTTACTTGTTCCAGGTCGGGAGCTTCGGCGAGAATCTCGGGATATATTATTCTGTTCTATGGGTGAAGAGAATAGCGGATGCCAAGGCGAAAAACCATCTGGGCTCCGCAGCAGAATTTCACTCCGATGACTCGAGGGTGGCCCTATTATACGTGCTCCCTTACAGCAGTCTTCGGCCTAAATTGATAGGGAGTTTCCGGTCAGTTCATTGTCCCTCAATTCGATTGAAGCCGCTCATCGATTTACCCTCGAAAATGAATAGATGATCCCTCTCCTGGTTTCCTCCGATACGTTCTAGTCGTTCCCCAGTCGATAGCTAAGAGGTCACAGTAAACAGTTGATAGCTCCTTAAAGGAGCTTTTCTGCTTCCGGATATGATGTCACGTGAGTCCATGTTGACAAGAAGCCGGACAGCGCCGAAGTTATCGGCCGCATCATCATATGAATGAACTCTGCGACTGAACTTTGATACGTGAACAGTTCGATGCAGGGCCAACGACTCCGAGTT